TAATAATAATTTGACTTTGCATTATGACATCATCATCTAAACACCTTGAAATTAGCCTCTGTCTCTTGAAGAACCTCCTATCGCTTCTGACACTCCCACTTCAGCATGTTTTCAAACAGTGCWTCAGGGGAGGGGTGCTATGTGAGGCGGAGCTCTACTGCAGACCGAGCTCCAGGGAGGAGCTATGTACAAATAGGCGGAGCTTTGTACCAGCAAGCGTTTAGGCAGCTCCACATGGCTACAGGAGATTCAAGGGTTCCTCAAACATGGTGGATGAGTAAAAGCAACACTCTGAGGAAATGACATTATAACATGATATAAAGATCAAAAGAGATAATTTTATTTAACCCAGCTTGGATTATTTGCTCCTTTCTAAATGCGTTGATGTTATTTTGAACACACCAGCTGTAAAAATCTGTCTCCTCAGGTGGCTCACGCTCTGGAAAGTGATCTGGGTGTGATCGCCTGCGTCGGGGAGAAGCTGGAGGAGCGAGAGGCCGGAACCACAGAAGAAGTCGTCTACGCTCAGACACAAGTCATCGCAGGTAAAAAAAAAAAAATTTATTCAATTTTAAAAATCTCAATTTTCAGTTGTGGATATTAGTTTGATCATTCATCTAAATAAAATATGGTCTAATAAAAACTTTTATTTTGAAATATTAGAGTCAGGAGTTCTGTTTGTAAAAGTTCTTATTTTAAGCTCAGTTTATCAGAACAAAAGAATTTATGGATGCAGTTTCAGTATTTTTATTAATATTTAATGCATCTCTCTTGTGTCTGTGCTGTTTCTGCATTACATAAACCTGTGAATGTTCTTTTCTGTGGTAACAGAATATATATATTTCTACTGTGCCCACAAGTAGGTTGCCTGATTTCAGATGTAAATAGGTCAGTGGTCTCCAACGCTGAAGGAATTTTAAGAGCCGCAGCTGCTTTCTTCTTCTGTTAAAGTCACACTAACTGCTCTGCGAGRCCACAATAAGACAAACTGCAGATTTTTATGGATGATTTCATCTTTACAGYTCCTCCAGGACATCTCTCAATCTGAATAAGAATGTCTGTTTATGAAGAAATATTCCTTTATAGGTGTTATATGAAAGATGTTAATGTGGATTTAAATGTTCAGTGTTTTAGGTGTAATTCAGGGCTGGTGTGTTGCAGACAATGTGAAGGACTGGGGGAAGGTGGTTCTGGCGTATGAACCGGTCTGGGCCATCGGCACTGGGAARACAGCCACACCTGAGCAGGTAAAACCAAGGAGAAGACAGCAGCGGTGGTTACCGGGTTAAATTAGATTTGATTGTAGAATAAACAAAGAGATGTTCATTTTAATAAAATGGTTCCAACGGTGCTTATTTTATGGATTTCTGTTTTGATGCAGGTTCTGTTTGTGTTTTAGGCTCAGGAGGTCCATGAGAAGCTGAGGGTCTGGCTTCGAGACAACGTCTCAGACGATGTGGCCGATTCTGTTCGCATCATTTATGGAGGTAATCATAATGTCAATCWTTTAAGTCCTGCTGAACGTTTTCAKATATTTCTCCAACTCTGTAAAGATTTAACTGCTTCAGGATGTTCTGTTATYGTTAGGACTTTGTGTTTTAATTATATTTAACCTGATGATGGTCTGATGATACTCAATAAAAGCCCATCATTTCTGACCAATCAGAGCAAACCCAACCTTTCAGGAGGCGGGCCTTAAAAAGAAAGAAACAACGAAGSAAGGTGTCACAAAACTGACCAAATTAAGATGATTCTAATATCTTACAGATCTTTATCATWCCCTAAAACAAAAATCTGACTGTGTTTTGGAATAATTCAGGATTTTAAAGCCAGATTTATCTCCATGCTGTGATYGGTCAGATGCTGCAGGACAAATTAAAACTATTAAACATTTAAAATACAGCAAATAACGACCCATTTCACCTTACACTCCCACTTCCTGTTTGTCTGCTTGGGAATACTGTGTGTGTTTGACATTATTAACTACTTCAGAGAGATTTTATCCCTCATTAGTTCTTTGAAGAGATCCAGAGATCATCACAAACCCACTCCTTCTGCCACACGTCTCTCAGGGGTGTTGTTGGGTTGGACTAAAATTTTTCACTTTAACGAGGCAGTCTGAAGCTTTGCTGCTCAGTTTTACCAACAGCAGCTCCTTCTAAACATTAACCCTCTCCTTTCCTCTCTACGTTTTTTTAAAAAAGGGGCTATTTGGAGCAACTGACTAAAAATGTCACCTGCAGCTGTGTRGAGTCAGCTGTCTCATCAGTTGTCTGAATAGATTTCAGAAACTATGGAAAGTTTTAAAGARTTTATTCTGTCAGTTTATGTCTTGAATGAGCAGCACAGCCATGCAGAGGTCAGAGAACAGTCAAAGTGTGGGTTTTAAAACTAAAAACTCTAATAAAACAGCGATATGTTCCTGTATTTCTACATCTAAATTATTATAATGTTGAACTAAAGCATATTGGATTTAAGAGTATTGTAAAAATATTTTTGTTAGCAATATAAAATC